GAGAGAGAGAGAGAGAGAGAGAGAATTTTTAATGTTTATTTTTTAGTTCTTGGCGGACACAACATCTTTGTTGGTATGTGGTGCTGAGGATCGAACCTGGGCCGCACGCATGCCAGGCGAGCGTGCTACCGCTTGAGCCACATCCCCAGCCCCAATATTTTAATTTTTAATGTTTTTTCCAAATCCAATTTTCATCTATTAGTAGGCTAACAGCCTGAACATCAGTCTGAGCCAATCTCTAAAAATAATTGATACACTACTTTTGAAATCATCTTTAGAACTAATTCATACCTGAGTTAAAAAGAAACTTAAGGAAATTCTTAAAGATAAAAACAAAATGGGAATACAGGTGAAGACAGGTCAGGAGAATGCTGAAAAGGCATATGTTAATCCCTGGGAATTTCTAATTTTAATTTTAACTACTACTTAGGTGATTAGAGAAAATACACAGGTCCAAGACAGTGATGGAATGTTGGAGACTGCTGCATAAATCCATGGTCCCATAAGAGGTGCATATTCAGTAAAAAAATGAACTAAAGCAAGGGCTATGATCTACAGAAAGAAAGGATGGAAATATCATTCTTTGCTGGTCCCAGTCCTGGAATGAAAAACTTTGAAGAGGAAATTTTTTTCTTACAAAGGGTCCTGGATATCTGACAAGCACAAACTAAAATCTTCTGTTAAAGAGTGTGTCTCACAGGATCCTCACTGATAACAATGAACACAAACATATACAATCCCAACCAATGTAAGCAAGAAAGCAGGAAAGCCTTAGCAGAATGGAAAAGCAGGGTAAAACAAAGATTTAGAACTCAGAATTGCAGATGCAGAAAGTAAAACAAGTATTTTTTTAAAATAAAGAATTAAAAAATATGAATAAGAAACAATTGATTACAAAAATGACTAATTTATTTTTTAAAAGGACCAAACAGAACTTCTAGAAACTCAGTGAGTAAGGTGAGTAGCATATTAGCGACTGATTAAAAGAAAATTAGCAAACTAAAAATCAACATCTCTAGAGATTTTCCAGCATGAGACAGAGAGATGTAAAGAATCACAGGAAATATAAAGCCTCTGACAAACACCAATTAGATGGTGTTCCATAGGGGATGATAATATGAGGAAACAAAATATTTTAAAAGAGAAGTTTGACCATCACTCAAAAGATGAAAAATGGGAACTGTACTCAGATACAATATAGGATTTTGGGAAAAAATCCTACCTAGAAGTTATATTTTGTGGCAGAATATTAAAGACAAAAGATCTTTAAAAAAAAAAGGGCAGAAAAAAGATGAGAGACAGAATAGCACCTGACTGACCTGTCAGCTGCATCAAAGGAAGCCAAGAGACTGCAGAATAACACCTTCAAAAATACCAAAAAGAAGAGAAATCAAGCTAAAATTGTGTACTCAGCAAAACTGTCTTTCAAGAGAAACATTCTTCCATTGATGGGCTAAACAAAGTCAAAAGTTGGTCTTTTGAGAAGAATATCAAAATTGGCAAATTTCTAGTAAGAAAAAAAGAGGCAATAAAAATAAAGAAAGGACTCATAGATACCACAGATTCAAATATTTGACAATCAAATAACAGACATTCTTTAGCACAATTAGAAAAACTATCAAAAGAAATTATATATGGCCTAAATAACTGGGAGATAGATATAACTTAACAAATAGTTACAATTTGATGAATGATCTCAAATTCATATGAAAGAATAAAAAAAAAAAAAAACACCATAGACTAAGGTAGGAGAACTTGCCCAACTAGATGTTAGGTCTTTTTCTAATACTAGTGTACAATTTCATGTTCTGTAGTAACAGATAAATCAAATGATGCCCCAGGTAATAGAGATCAGTGAGAAAAGGGCAAATTCACAATGGCATTGAAACAGTCAGATATCAAAACATAAAAACATGAAAATTGTTACCTATGGCAAATCAAACACAAAAATGAAAAATAAAACCATTAAAGATTTTAAAAGTTGTATAAAACTATAAATTTTGAAAAAAAATAGGTAAATATTTTATTTCCTCTGGGCAGGAAATATTAATTTAAAGAAAAACACAGGAATATAATCTTTTAGGAAAGTGTTTCCTAATTTGATAGTATTAAAAGAAGAACTCAGTGTTCATCAAAAAACACCATTAAAAATAGTTACAAGAGCCAGACACTGTGGTGCATGCCTGAATCCCAGCAGCTCTGGAGGCTGTGGCAAGAGGATAGTCAGTTCAATGCCAGCCTCAGCAATAGTGAGGCTCTAAGAAACTCAGTGAGACTTTGTCTCTAAATAAAATACAAACTAGGGCTGGTGATGTGTCTCAGTGTTCGAGTGCCTCTGAATTCAATCTAGTACCCATCCCCTCCAAATAATAACAAGACAAGCTACAAATAAGGAAAAGGTATTTGGAACACTAATTAACAAAGAAATATTTCCTAGATAAATATCAAAACTACCTCGAATCAATATGAAAATAAAAGTTATAAAAGCCAAATAGGTATTTTATCAAACATAAAAGACTGATAAAATATTGGAATGGTACTCAATAGCAATAGTAAAAGCAATTAAAATCACAAGGATACCAATTTATATTCCCCATATTGACAAAAATGAGAAAGCCTATGTTGATAAGTATGTGGAGCAAAGGAAACTCATTTTACACAATGCTTCTGAGGTTACAAATTGGTGCAGCCACTGGTGCAAGTTTTTTCACAAATTGGTGAAAACAATTTGAAATAATAGCACAGAGCTAAAAGTATTTATCCTCAGTATCATTCTTAGTATCTCAGTATCACTCTCACTTTTGCAGATGTGTCACCAAGTGATTTGTATCAGAAGAATATTCACTGTGGCTTTTTAAAAAATCTGTAAAAACAACAACAAATCTTAAAAAATAATTTAAATTTCCACTTAAAAGCAATAAATAACCACATAGATCATAAAATAGCATATATATGCACACCAGAAACAATTGTCTCCCTGTCTTTGAAAGGTAGCTATTTTCTAAACCCTATCATTTAGTTTTCTCCTATTTTTTTAAAGTATCAGGGATGAAACCATAGAGAGTTAATTCTTTTGTGTCTGATTTCTTAAGTTGACAGTATGTTGGTGAGATCTGTAGTTGGTATATATATTTTGTTGAATGTAGCAACAGTTCTTTCATTTTCATTGAATATTTTCCCATTGCATGGATGCATTATTGTATTCCCACCTGTTCTACTGTTGATGGATATTTAGTTTCTAATTTGGGATAATTATGAATAGTCATGCTACATAGTTTTGTTCATGTTTCTTTATATACAACATTTCCATTGTACATTGATAATTCTGAAAAGACTAAATAGTTGATTATATGTTATTTTGTATTAATAAATATATCTACTAAAATAATGTAAGAAATTCTCCTAAATTAACAGGTAGTGAATGGTACTATCTTAATTTTACTTCCTGTGATTATTACTTGTGGTAACCACTTTTTCATATTTTAATTTTTTGTGAATTGCTTTTGATTGTCTTTACCCATTTTTCAATTTTTATGGTACTCATTGATTTACAAAAGCTATTTATTAAAAATTATATTGGGGACTGGGGATATAGCTCAGTTGGTATATTAATCTTTGTATTATGTATTGGTAGAAAAAGATACTTTTTACATTTCACTTTTTTATTGTTTATAATTTTCAATGGTCTGTTTTAAAAATTTTCTTTTTTATTATTATAAATTAAAAATATAATGACTTAAAATTTCAGAAATTCAAAACTTGAATTTCAAAGTTCAAATAGAGATAAATATCATTGTAATTCCCAATTTCAAAGTAACTGTTGTTAACATTTTGGTGCATATTCTTTGTGTCTGTATTATATATTATGTCTACATATGTGTAGATTAGTGTGTGTGTGTATGTATATTTAAAATATCTTTATATTTATGTGCACACATGTTTATAAGGGGGTTATTTTTCTGCCTGATGGGCACCTATTTTTTTAATCAATTAACATAGCTAACACTATCATTTAAAAATATTTAAATGGTATCTCATTGTATAAATATGCCATTTTTAATTCAACAAGTATTTATTGAGTCTTTATAACAGCATCATTTTTTAGGCACTGGAAACAAACAATGTCTTCATAGGTGAAGTTTAAATGCTAATGGACCAAACATAAAATATACTAATAAGTTTTTCATATAACATAAGATAATAACAAGTAGTTCAAAGAAGAACAAGTACAAGGAAGAGGATAGAGAGTGATGGGTTGGTGAGAGGTCACAGGGTACTCAAGGAAGGGGCATCATAAGTGAACAGGAATATATTGAGTATGGGAAGTCATTACCAATTTGTGGGCAAAATCAAAAGCAAGTCCCCTGGGTAAGATTTTTGGTTTTGTCTTTGAGCAAGAAATGCTCAAAGAAATCAGTCTGATGTAGGTTAACATTAAGGTCATTTCTAATTATTCAAATTTTTAAACAAAAATTGGAGAAACTGTCATGTTAAACTACTTGCTTAATATCTGTAGATATTCTAACTGTTGGTCTTTTTAATTTGCAAACTCATTTTTTTCTTGTATGTTTCCATGACTATAATAGGAAGATGTGGTTATATATCAAAGGATGTTCATCTAGTGCCATCTTGCTCCAAAGGCCTAATTCAAATTTACTTAGAGAAAAAAAAAAAAAAAAGCCTTTTTTTAAAAGTGGAAAGGAAGAATGGGTAATAATGAGTGTAATGCATTCCACTATTGTCATGTATTTAAAAAATAAATAAATAATTTTTAAAAAGGGGAAAGGAAGAATGTCACAATATAAAATGTTCAATTTAAAAAAGAATTTTTATAGCTTAAGACAAAACTATCGACATGACATCTTTAGCTATACTTAATGGTTCTTACCTTTAACTCTTACTTCATTCATATTTCCTTTTTATGACACTTTGACATCATGGAACATTTAATACAATAACTTATAAACAAGAATTTGATGTACAAATATTTTTCCCCTTAGGTTGCTGATGCTAAGTCTTTCCCAACACCTTTTAATGTCTTGCCTGTGAAAACAAAATGGAGTAACATTGGCTTTCATATTCTTCTATTTGATCTGGAAAACCTTGTTAAACTTTTGTTGCCGACTCCACTGAGTGCTGCTGACTCTTCCAATTCATTCTATGGTAGTGAAATCTTGAGGAGAGCCAAGAGCACAGTAGAGAAGACGACACTGACAATAAAAAGAAATAAAACTGCTAGTGGTTCTCTCTCAGCAGAAGCCCAAGCCAAGCCTCTCAATGATGGCCTGATCCAAGGAAACAATGCTATCAAATTCATAGAAGAAAATGATGATATTAAAAGGCAGAAGAAAACAAAGAGCTCCAAGAAAAAGCATACCAAAGCATCAAGAAAAGTTGATGCCAACCTCACAATAGACACTGCTAAATTGTTTCTGTCCTGCCTTTTGCCATGGGGAGTGGATAAAGAACTAGATAATCTCTGCATTAATCATCTCAATATTTTAAAGCTTCAGGGTCCTGTTTCCTTAGGGCTTGCTTCAAATGAAGACCACTTCTCATTGATGCTGCCAGGTTGGGATTTATGCAATACTGAAATGAAGAAAGAGTACTCCAGAGTAAATTTATTTTCCAGAAAAGTTTTGGACTTATCAAATAAATACACAGCCACTCTTCCAAATCATGTTGGAACACCAAGAAGACTGGAAAATAATTGTGATTCTTTTGAGGAGTCAAATACTATAGTTTATTTATTGAGCAGACTCTTTTTAGTTAATAAGTTAGTCAACATGCCTTCAGAACTGGCCTGTGATTTTGACAGGTAAGACATGCCTAAAGATTTTGACTATTCTAATTTGGGATATTTGAAAAAAATATTATTTACAATATTCAGCTCTCTAGTGTTTCTTTCTTCCTGATGATGGTAGTAGATATGCAAAAACTTATTTGGTTTAAAACACAACTAAAGAAATCTTATTAATCCTTTGGGATTGGAGGATAATTTGCCAATACATGTGTATATTTTGAAATTACTTCATTCAACAAATATCCATTGTACTCAAAATATATGTGAGGAAAGTCATAATGTTAAATGTTTAAGGAGTAGGTAGGTAGGTGAGTACATATATATATATGTTCAAATCAATTATACACGATATGAATTAAGTATGAGCAAACCATATGTAAATAAATGCTTATGAAGATATATATTATCAGGAATAGAAAAATTTGAAAATTTTATATATCAAATCATATCATTAAATTTATGTTTCAGCATGATAAAATAGAAGAGCTTCTCCACTAATTCATTATAGAAAGTACAATTTAGTAACAACATAGCTATTGTTTCTTGAGTGTTGAACATTTGCTAGTCATTATGTAATCCCTTTACATACATTGTTTCATTTACTGTGCACATCAAAGCTGGGCTGTTAGTAGTTTTGTTTTGCTCATTGTAGGGATAGGGATAATGAGGCTTATAGAAAGTGTTGAGCCCAAGGTTAATTCAGCTTCTGAGAGGTAGGACAGGCTAAGCACCAGAGCAGTCTTCCAGCTTCTCCAGTACTAACTGCATCTCTGCATCTCTGTGTTTTCCTTTTCAGCGTAGTTTTCACAGTCTGTTGTTACAGAACTGAGTTTAGTTCACCAAGTGCTTATTTATTAAACTATATTCTTAGCACTAGAGAAAAAATTTAAAATGAACTTATGATTTGGGTAGGGACTCATTCAAATGATAAACATGTTATACATGAAACAAAGAAAACACTGAAATAGAGGAAAGGCTTAAGGAAAATCATTGGTTATGTGAATAAGTAGGTCATGTGGTTGGAGTAGAGAGAGCAGAGTGGGATGAATCCATCAGAAGGCTTTTCTAGAGGAGATGCTATTTGCATTGCCGGTGACATGGTAAATTTTCCAAGATGTTTCTATTCTTTGACAAGAGATCAGTTCAACATGTATCTGCAAGGCACAGTGTAATAGAGGCCTTGCCCTCAGTGAACACATAGACTGGTGAAAGTTTAAATGAATTCTATCAGATTCACCATTATGCTTTTTTCCATTGTAATGTTTCCATGTTACAAGACTTTTAATTTTCAGTTTGTTGGTTCTAATAATAGAAAACAAAAGATTGGTAAAATTGTGATTCATATATGTAGTTTTTCTCTATTTACTGTGTTCATTTTAAATGCCTAAATCTTTTTTAAATTATTATTTTGAATAGTCTTTTTTTTTTTCCTTAACTTTTCTTTATTAAGATTATATAACACCAAACTATGGTGGGAAAAAAAAATGCAATGGCCCTGGAATCTGAAAACCTAGAACTGAATGCTGATTTTCTTGTCATACCAGCTGTGTAACTTTGGGCTGGTCACTTAGACTTTTGGGGCTTTTTTTTCCCCCTCATTTGCAAAATGAATTGGGTAGAAAGATTATTCCTAAGATTTCTTAAAATTCTTAAAAACTTGAGCTGCAAACAATTTTGTCTGCTTATTATAATTTCACAGAGCACATGAAAGAATTGGTTACTATCTTCACTCTGAGTTTGTTCATGAAATAGAGTATAGGATGGAGAGGATGTATTTCATGTCCTGCAGGAGAATTTATGGGCTTTCAGCATGCCTTTCATTAAATGGCCTTTAAATTGTTGCCAGATACTAGTTGATTCCTTAAAGCCTTCTCCTAGACCTCTGGATATAGCTCTCTGATAGAGAATTTACCTAGCATGCATGAGGCCCTCCATTTCATCACCTACCCCCCCCAAAAAAAAATTCCACCAAAAATAAACCTTATAGAATGGAGTATCAGAATTAATTATGAACTGTTTCTCTAAGTCAGTCACCCCAAATTTGATCAGCTATTGGAATGTTGGAGCCTGGACAATTTTTTTTTTTAGAAATTACAAAAATATATATTGAATTTGTTATATCAAATCCTTCAACAAATCCTTTCAACAAATTTTGCCACTTCTCTAACATTTTATTGTGGTTGTGAAATTGAGAAATCATTGTACACTTAACAAAGGGTACATGATTTAAGTAAATTTAAGGAAATAGCTCATTATGAGAACATCCCTGATAGTATCTAAAGATCCCCATAATTTAAACTCAGACCTAGGTTAAAGTCTGCCGGTAACTGGGGAGGATTTTTTGACAGATGTCAACATATAGGATTCAAATGTTTGTTGCAATAGCCAGAAGTCATTTCCTTAAGTAGCAAGGTTCGTCTTATAAAAGTAGGTCACAAATAATCCTGGTTAACTAAGATTTGCAACTCAATTGGGATTAATATTTTAGTCAGAAATGAGAATCACAAAAGAGATTAATATGGAAGATATTCCTAAAAATAATCTGTGTTCAGTTCCCAAATTTGCTAATGTGTTCATGAACTCACATCTTCAATTTATTTTCTCAAATTATTTTTCATAGCCTTTCAATAATATTCTGTATATACTTTTTTTTCCCAACAGATTCTTCAAAACAGAATCTATACATAATAAGATGAAAAGTCCTGGGAATGATATTTTGCATATTTCAAGCTTCTATGGTTACTTAAGAAATGGTAAGGAAGTTATAGGCATGGATATGATCAGATTTATTTTTTTCCTATGAAATAATATTTTGTAACTAAATGGCATTGATAAAATAAGTAACATTGCATAAAATGTAGATTTCACAAATTATCTTTGAAATACCTAAAAATTTGAAACTTTCAGTTATAGGCATGGATATGATCAGATTTTTTTTCCTATGAAATAATATTTTGTAACTAAATGGCATCGGTAAAATAAGTAACATTGCATAAAATATAGATTTCACAAATGATCTTTGAAATACCTAAAAAGTTTGAAACTTTCAGCAAAGAAAATATTTGGATATTAAATTAAGGTCACATGTAATTTATCGGAAGGTTTATTCTGCATCGATATTTTTACTACTGAATGATTATTAGAGAATTTTATTGCTATTTCAGAAGGTCATCTTCTTCTGTGTAAAACTCTTATATGCTTCTGAGTAACAATCTCAGTGTTTAGATTTTCTTTTGGTGCCACAGGATGCTCCTTTATCTCAATAAATGGTAGGTGTCACTGCAGTTGTTCAGGCCAAGAACTTTGATATCATTTTTACTTTCCCTTTCTCTCATATCCCACATCCACAATTTTAGTCATCATGTTGGTTCCACCTTCCGAATACATCCCAGAATCCTGCTGCTTCTCACCACCTCCATGACCACTCACTCCACTGCTGTGAGCCTTCATCTTTCTTGCCTGGATGACCTTAGCAGATTCCCCATCACCTCTCTGTCCTATTCTTGGCTCATACCCTCCATTCCCAATTAAGCAGCCATTTCAATCGAACTCAGAATCTCCTTTCTCTACTTACAACCTTCCAGTGACTTTTTTTCACGCAGAATAAAAGTCACAGCCCGTCCCAGAGCTCACAAGACCATAAGGACCCATTTGACCTGGCCACTGTATCCACACCATCACATACTCACCACCTAGTTAAACTCAGTTACCCCTACTCTCACCTTTTTATTCTTAACCAAATACAACAAGCAGACATTTTGTGTTGGCTGTACCTTTGCACAGAAAGTTCTTTATCCAGATATCTGTATGGATCAACCTACCCTCCCTCCACTCACCTTGATCTTTAAGTCTTCTCAGATGCCACTTAGTCAACAAAGCACTTCTCAGCTGCTTCCTTAGCCTTCCCTACCTCTTTTCTTCTTGTACTATTTAAAACCTTTTCACTGACACTTTTTCTATTTGTCATCTGCTGCCTGCTATTGAAATGTAAGTTTGATGGGGGTTACACTTTTAGGATAGTTTTATTCACTGTTATGTCCCCAGTTCCTCAAACAACGAGAAGAATTTAAACAAGCACTTTTTGAGCTAGTGGATGAATAAAACTAGTGACTGAATAAAATTAAGGGATAAGTAGTAAATAAAACAATGGCTTGGGAAATAAATGCAATAAATGACTGAGGTTCAAGATTCAACTCTTTCGCTTACTGCTTACTCCTTTAAAAACTTTATTTACTACATTTTGAAAGTGACGATAAGTTTTCAGACTTGATATGCATGTTCTTTCTAAAGTTGTGTAGTGCCTGACCTGTTTAATGGATTTACTTGAACATTGGTGCACAGAGGCCCTCACAAAACTGTTAGAAAAACTTCTCAAGGTTTTTTCAAGTGTGAGTGGCTTAGTGTATTCTAAGAATTATACTGATGGATTTAGATATATTATCTCATTTAATATATGAAGAACTTTACAAAGTAGAAAGAACTCTATTTTTTACCTTCAGAAGAATTGGGGCTCATAGAAGTTAGATGATTCATTCATAATCAAAATTCCAGTCCAAATCTGATTCCTAACCTTTCTTTTTCTTTCCATTCTGTCAGGTCATTTCTGACATTTATGATTGTAAATAGTGTTCCCTCTATGTGGCCCTCTTCTGGGCTGCTGGCTGTCTTCTTAGATAGTTGCTCTTGTTAGAGTTAGTTATTTGATATTCATTTTTTATAACATGGAGAATGGTATTAGAATTTAAGGTTTAACATACATGTTCCTGCAAAGACAAGGAATTGCTAACTAGAGCCAAGGCATTCCCTCTTCTCCTCTGACTTCCCACCCAAAGCAGCTTAAGCAACCAGTATTATTACTGAATAATATCTCTATTATTTAGGGTGGCATTTATACCATTTAAAATTCAGTTGAATACTGAAAACACAAGATTGTTTTCTTTTTAATAATAGATGGAAAGTAAAAGGATTTACTCCATGTTGTTAATTTTATAAAGCCAGATTCTGAAGAATAAATTAATATTCTGAGGCACTCATTCTAAAGGGTTGACAAGAACCAATACTCATTTCTGTCAGCAGAAACAGTGACTGGGTTATATTGGTAAGCCTGGGATGTTTTCTTTTCATCTTTCCCTCTGAAGTTGCAATTAATTCTTTAACTCACTGACGTTGCCAAGAAAAGTTGGCTCTCATTTCTATCTCATATTAAAATTTTAACATCACATTAAAGTGCACTGTGAAGTACCCCATGATGCCAGTAAGTAGTTACAGTTGAGACCAATACTTAGCTTTGATGGTTGAGTCACAAGGTCAACAAAATGAGAGAGGGAGAAAGGAAAGAGATCAAAAGAAGATTTTTTCTGTTCCCTTCTGTGCTCTGGAATAAATGGAAAATATGACTTCAAAATCATAAATCTCTATAATATATGTTGTTTGGCCATTTCAAATTCATATCATATGCTCCTACAGAAAAAAAATAATAGTCAACATTTCATATGTATTTCTTTTTTATTCTAATTTTTATGTTCCAAGTATTATATCCAATACTTTCTATCACATCTTCTTCAACTACTAATATGATAAAATATATATTAAAATATATAAAATATCATTCATATTACTATATAGGATGATGATTCAATCAAAGGTATATTGTAACAATGTTAATTTAAATATTTGATATCAGAATGTCAAACTGTATGAGAACATTAATTTAAATAAACAGAGTAGCAGTTTGCCCACTGGGGAAAGCCATCATCTTTTTCCCCCATCTTCTTCCTAGGATTTGACACTGACATAATATACTTTAGCTATCAGAAAGCCTTAATTCATTGATTTTTTTCCTTTGGGTGATTATATGTACATTTTCAATTAATGAAAAGGTACTTATTAAGTGCTTTTTTGTGTAGGGAACTTCTGGGCACTCTGTGGATCAATTTAAATAGACCAAGCCCTACTTCACTCTTAAAATTTCACATGGAACATTAAGGCAGAGATAGAAAGGACATTTAAAAGGGCAAACTTAAAAGAAACAATACATAACAAAATGAGTCAAATTGAAGCATTAGTGCTTTACCTATTGATCAGAGTGGAATTGCTGGGTAAGGACAAATCAAAGGAAGTCTTTTATTTGATTTTACATATTATAGATACTTATTCATAGCAGGATTGAATTTCAGAAACTATTTGTATGAGGAAGGAATTGCAAAATTTGGTGATATGTCTTAGGTTGGCAAAGAGGTGCAAAGATGAATTTAAGTTGTAAAAATGAATATGATTTGATCTGAATTTGTGTTAGTATTATTGGTAGAAATATGTCTAAAAGTACGTACATATATGCATGTGTGTATACACTTACTTATATGTATTTAAAATTCTTATATATACATACATATGTAAAATTCTTATAGGTATATCTATAAATATACATATGTGTGTGTGTGTGTCTGTGTGTGTGTGTATACATGAACGTATATTTATTTCTTAACTCTGGCTATACATGAAAATCATCTGAGATATTGTTACAAAGTATTACTGCCTGCCACACCTCCACCCCTGGACCTTCTAAATCAGAATTTCTGCAAGATTGAATCTGTGCATTGGTGTTTGCACAAACAAGTTACCCAGGTCATTCCATTGTGCAACCAGGGATAAGGTCGGTGTGTTACATCATTTTTAACACTCTCAGGATATTAATATGTTCTACATATTTCTAGGTAAGAATGAATCTCATACAACTGACGCTGACCTTCCGCTTTTGAAGTTAATCTCATGTTGGCGAGACCAGTCTGTGCAGGTATGATATAATCCATGTTCTTGAAATTATTGGAAGAGTTTATTTCTGCTGCAAGTAATTGGTACTTCCTTTACCTGAGAGTAAAAGTAGGTAGTTACTCATGTCCTCTCTGGACTTGCATTTTAACATGCCTAATGTAGAAACAGAGATGAGAAAAAAGAAAAATCAAATATGCAAGGGTACACCAAGGAAAAGACATGAATAAACTGGGGTTAAGTGTGGGGCTTTATGCTATCATATGTAACTACTTGCCTGACAGGGTTTTAGTTTGAGGCCGAGTTGTCTGTTGCTTGACTTCAAAATGTGCCATGACATTATGGTGCTTTTCTTGAAAATTTGTTCATATGAATTTAGAAACCATTTTCTGTCCTTTGAGTACCTTATCTGTGAGCTGACAGAGAGCTATTTTTATTCAATGTCCAATTTAAACCCTTCTCCTTCTTTTAATGCTTCTTTGGGTCCTAAAAGCAAACTTACTTTTAGCTTTGCACATTGTACAATAAATATCTGTGCATTGATTAGATGAATTTTTGTTGGAACTTAATTCCTCTTCAAGAACTTGGCAAATATCAAGTTTGCAAGAGGGGGGAAGCAGTAATTCTGATTACAAATGGCTATTATTCGTTATAGGGAAACAAAGTTTAGTCAAAGCAAACTTTAGGGGTTTGATACTACTATAATGCCAAATATGCACAGCTCTAATGACAATGAAAAATCACATTTCCACATGATTTACCACCATCCTAATATCATCCCTCATCATTTTTCTGCCCCTATTTTTATCCTTATATAGACACATTGGCCTTCATTTATAAAAAAAACAAAATTATTTCCTCAGTACCTTAATGTAATCTTGTGATGGAATTTATATTTCTCCATCTTTCAACCCCTGATCTTCACTCAAAATCTGCCTTGTTAAACAAGTTTGTCCCTGACTACTCCAACTGATGTTGCTACCAGGCCTCCCCTCATTTCACATCTCCAGTAGCCATCATGTTATCCAACCTTATGCTTTTCATTGTGGTTGCTTTTAAGGGAAATGATATCATTTGCTTATTTCATATCTCCTTACTGTTTTATCAACTTTCTAAAAGCAGGGACCTTGTTTATCTCATTCATCCCCTCTCACCAATGGCCAGAAAACAGTAATGACAGTAGCCAATCAATAAATATTCATTGGATGCATGAATAGCTATGCAAATATTTTCTGTAATGATCAAAATTAACACTAGTACATGCTCACATTTATCAACATTTTAACAGTCACTCCAAAGAGTCTGTTTATTAAAAGGGAGATTTTCCCCCTGCCCCAGTAGTCAAAGAATCTTTCAATGGGGGAAATTCCTTAAATAAAAGGATTCTACAGAATATTTATCCTGAATCTAAAGATCTTTTATAGCTAGCTGTTCATTCATATTTCACTACACTTGTATAGTTTGTGTGTTTGGGCTGATGGACCTTTAAGTTTCTATGTTCAGCAACCTTAGATGAAATCTTGACAATAGGGCAGATGTTTTCAGAGTATTTATCATTTCCCGCCCAGGAACTCTAAGCCTTATAGTCCTGTCATCTCTGTCAGTTACCTAATGCAAGAGTCAGGAAGATAGATTTAGTTTGTTGATTTTTTTTATTTTCATCTTTTTCATTTGTAAAGTGGGAAGGAAAATTTCTTGGCTAGCCAGAAACAACATGGTTGTTTGCAAGTAGTTGTTTAAATGCTTCAGCACCCAGTGCCAAGATTCTTGATAACACTGTTTATTTAAGCAGTTAATTGAATCATTGAATCCTGAATTTATTTATTTTATTTTTATTCTTTTGCATTTTGGGACCACCAGGGAGTAATGAAATAACTTTTATTAAACAGCAAAATATGAATTTAGAAATTGAGTGTTTGCCTTTAAGGGAGAAGAATGAGTTAATTTTTCAGATGAATGAGTCAATCCAGAGGTTACTCTCTTTTCTCATACATCAGAGAGTCAATATAAAAATAATTCCTGAAAGAGAAACAAGAAAGTTTGGGGATTGCTATTTGCATTTCTGGAACTTTAGTAAAGTGCTTTGGATTTTTTTATTCCAACACCAATGGGTACAAATACTGGCACGTGGACCTTCAGGGAGAAGCGTTGCTTCTCTGGGAGATACTGCAAAGACATGAAAGGCCAACAAGAAGTGCAGTGTTGTTGAAAAGCTTTTATCACAGACAATCTGGACATCAGAACAGCAAGCAGCATACAGGGATTCTTATGAATGTAATGATGCTCAATCCTGTTTTTTTAGTACTTTGATATTCCAAGGTGTTAGTGAGATACAATCAAAAAATTTTATCTTATCTGTGGAATACTAACATTCATAATAATAAGTATGTGGCCCAAATCATGGCTGACTCTAGTCATGGATTTGTAAACTTTACTTTGATTCTCTGTACATCTCCTTGTAAAAGTATATAGTACTTTGCATACCTACCTTATCAGAGAAATTTATTTCCATGAATTTGGAAGATAGCTTTATAGTCATAGTGCTCCATTTTAGGCTAACATTAAAAAATCACAAAGTTATATAAAATCTGTCTAAAAATTTATATTTTGTTGGAAAAAATTCTGCCACTATTGACACTCAACAAAATTTACCTACTATTTTTATGTATTAGATGGATGCAAGCATTGATAGCTGAAAATTGTCAATAAATTATACTTTTCAGACTTTTTATATGCATCATAACTGAGGCTATAACTTGATCCTATAAGTTATAAGACATTATATCTGCTAGACTACATTGAAATAGATTACATTTTATATCACAGTTGTGAACACTGCTCAGAGAGGTGATAATTTTCCCACTATGGACATATGGCCCACTTGTCCACTCTAAGGGCTATATTATGTTCTGGACACTTGTGATCTACGGGTTCCAGACGGTGTTCTGTTTTGAGAAGCTGTCATCCTGAGCCCTCTCAGTAAGTAAGGACATGAATTTTCAGAGGAGTTTGACTTGCCAAAGGTTGCATATGTAGTAACTGTTACAACTAGATCAGAAACTGAAGTCTTCTTTTTTTGATCCAGTGTTCTTTCCATCTCATCATCCACATCTTGGAATTAGTACTATCAAATAACATGAGTGAAAAGATAAATATTTCATGTATGAAATATTCAGTTATATAAAATTACTCATCATTAATAATTAAGAAAATATGCCCATCTTATGATATACGTAAATCAGCATAGTTTGCCAATGTTGTAGTATATATTAGTAAACACCTTATAAGTAACACATTATTATAAGTTTCATCACACGGTGAATTTTAATAAGCATGATTCACAAGAATTGTGATATGTATAATTATACACTACATTCATAATATATAAAAAAATTTACAGTGCTGAATATTACATCATAGACATTCATGAGTAAGCATTACTTACTTGTATCCTGATAGGCTATACTACATGTTAGTATACATGGTATACAATAGCAAAATCATTACCACTCATTAACCTGTTTTCTTTCCCTAATCAAGCATTTAAGTGCAAGATGTACAAGAACAGCGAAGAATCAGTAATCTAATACTCTTGGAAAGAAGCTTGCTTATTTAAAAGTCAGGTGCCCAGTTCCTTCTGCCCCAGTAGTTCAGTGAGCATCTGCCATAGCATGAGCTCCCTGGGAGGCCGTGGACTTTAAAGATAGCATATGTCACCATAATTTATAACGAGACTAAATAATGTCCAGAGAATGCATGTTCTGTTTTTGGCAATTACATCTCCAGGTCACTACTCTCAGATGGTGTTATCCAAATCCCTAGCTACACACATCCTGCAGGTAGGCTGGGAATAATTGAGAGGGCAACAGTAGCAATTGTGGAATATGGGCCAACTTGGCAAAGGGCAGGCTTCTGAGGAAAAACAGAGCAGGCATTGAGATGTGGCTACATGAAAGACTTCACTACAGTCAGAGAAGATTAATGGGAAGGCGTCCAAAGTCCACCTAGATTGGTGGTGTCCTTCCTTTTCTCTCCTTGATTCAGATCCTGGCTTTTCTTGGTCACTACCTAACTCCTGGTCTTTGCCACATTGCTTGCCAGGAAGAAGTCTGAGTAAACAGTCACCAGTATTGCATTGACAAAAAAGGGTACAGAAACTTGGGTGGCAACATACTGTAAAACAGAATCAAGGATCAGAGGCCTGTTTACCAGTTCTCCATAACCTTGGCCTGTCATTTACTGAGTTCTTCATTTTAAAATGAAGATATTTGGGCATAATGCTCTGTGTTTGATCCTTAGCACTGGAAAGAAGGAAAGAAGGAAGGAAGGGAGGGAGGGAGGGAGGGAGGGAGGGGGGGGGGGGGGGGGGGAAGAGGGGGGGGGGGGGGGG